ATTTTTATCAGTAAGTACTTAAATTTCACTTTACTTTCAGTAAGTTGAGTTGTGTCATTTTGTGTATTGCAGGTTGTTAATGAGCCATATTCCAATCCTGATGCTGTGTTCCTCATGTAGTCCTCACTTGCATATCATTTGCTAAACATATAGATCGAATAAATATGATGGAAGAATATATCCGTGACATACATTTTTTCTGATTTCAAAACTGGTGTACAGATTTTGCATGAACACAGTTGTCTTGGATTTCCTGCTTTTCATAATGTTGTCTGTGATTTTTTTAACCCTGCAGAGTCTGATGCCTACATTATTCACATATTGTCAACTTTCAGCCAAGATCCGTGTGACAGTAGCAATGATAACCATTGTTCTACCCGACTCTACTGATTCTGACTTGAATTTGTGACAGTTTCGCTATTGATATACTGCTATAAATATTTTTAAATTATTTCCAGTGAAATTTTGCTTGCATATGGTATTAATGATACTGTTTAATATTCCCCACTTTCTTTTGCATTACTTTTCTTTCGAATGGATGTGGATAAGTCTCCTAGTCAGTGGGTAGGAAGCTATCATAAAAATTCCTTGTAATAGATGCACATCCAGTGCTGTATGCATTTCCTGAAACATTTTAGTTGATATTTCACTAATTCTGTTATGTTTTACCAATATCTTCAGTGCATGAAATGGTTGGCCATCAACTAATTGGTTTTTAAAAATACATTGAGTAACTTTGTTTTTATCTTTTTAAGCTTCATACATTATTCAGTATTTTGCTTATAGAATACTACAGTAGGGTAATTTGAGACTTGACTGTTTTTTTTCAGTTCTTTCAGCTTGATAAACACAGTGTCTTTGGGTTGTCCTACTCCAGATCTTTGCATTTTTCATTATAATGTTTTGTTTTATCTTCCCAAGCTTCCCTTTTAGATCTTCTGTTCAGCTCTCTTACCTTATTATTTCTTCCATGTTCTTTAACTTCTCCACATTCTAGAGCAAGTTTCTGAGACTTATATGATGTCTACTTTGGACTTTTCTTCTTTCATCTCCTTTTTAATCCTCTTTGCCCCATTTTTATATATGATGTCCTTGATATCATCCCATAACTCTTCTGGTCTTTGATCGTTAGTATTTGATGCATCAAATCTGTTTAAGATATTCTCTAAATTCAGGTGCCATAGGTGCCAAGGTGGTATTTTGAAGTTCTTGTAATTTTCCTCAGCTTTTTAATGAAACTTACTCTAGTGGTTTTAGTTATTTCTTTGTGGTTTTGTTATGTGTTTCTTTAATGACTAATGAATGATATTAAACATCTTCCTGTGTACTTTGCTATTTTAAGATTTCCAAAAACATGTTGGAATTTGGCCTAGTGGCAAGAAGCTGCACTGCAGTCCTGAAGCCATGTGGTTTGAATCCACCAGCTGCTCTGTGGGAGAAGGATGGGCAATCTCCTTCAGTGCAGTTAATTCTGCCTCTGAAACGCACCCCCCCCCCAAGGGTCAGCTATGAGTCAATTCTGAATTGATGGTACCAACAATAACAATCACCTTGTTTAGTGTCATATGAGAGATATACTAGAAATGATTTTATATCTTATTCTCTAAAGTTTGTTGTTGCTGTTAGGTGCTGTCGAGTTGAGTATGACTCAACGACCCTATAAACGACAAATCTGAACCCTGTCCTATCCTATGCCATTCTCTGACACACTTAAGCCCATTGCTGCAGTCACTGTTTTAATCATCTGGTTGAGGATCTTCCTTTCTTTCACCATCCCTCCACCATTCCAAACATAATGTCCTTCTCCAAGGAATAGCCTGTCCTACCAACATGCTCAAAGTATGTGAGACAAAGCTTTATTGTCTTTGTCTCCAAGGAGCACTCTCGCAATATTTATTTTAAGGAAAGCACATTTGTACATAGTAGTGAGTTTAACAAGTAATTTCCCTCTACTTTGCCTTCCTCTCTGTACCTATATTGTTAACTTATAACTTGATATTTTCTCTATTAATTGTGAATTTGTACAAATTGAGGACAAAAACTCATGACTACTATTCTAGTCTGTTTTAGGTCATAACTTAAACTTCTTTATTAAGAAAATATGTACATCACTGACTTGAGATCTCTTTTACTCGTTATCAAAACCTACTTTCTGTTAATGGTAAAGGAAGAGAACCAAGAAATTTCATAACCTACTCCTTACATCTTTCTTCTAACTTGTTAAGATTTATTTCATATTTCCTAGATATATTTGACCCTCTTTGGTGATGATTATTCCTGTTTTTTTGTGTCTTAAAAATTTAATACTATTATTACTCCTAGATGTCACTTGTCAGAGTGAACCGTTACTATCCCCGGGGAGCAGGAAGAAAACCCCTGAAAGTAAGGAAGAGGAAATCTTCAGTGAAGCAAGAGTGGGATGTAAGTCTAGATGGGCTGATAAAACACTAACATTATTCTGGAGCAATTGACCCAGTGACATAGCCCTAGTCATTCAACAGCGCTCTGAATGAATTTTCAGGTTATATTCTAGGCCCTGGTGGGAAGAACAGAATCCTTTGAGAAACTTTAAAAGAATACATATATTCAGGCTTTCACCTCTATCCCTTCTGAAGAATTGAAATCTTAAGTAATAGACAGGGTATATATATGTATGTATGTGTTTTTAAAGTTTCTTGTCTCAGTTTTGATTGACAACTTACTTAAGGCAGATTTACCTAATCTGTATCACTGAAATCTGAAAATTAGCCTTGCGTGCCCCTGACAATCAGTGATGACATAATCATATGAAGGGCATCTTTGCTAAGAAAAAAAATAGGTGATCTTTGCTTTATTATCTTTTAGTTTGTTTGTTGTTCACATCTAGAGGATGATCAATTTTACTACAAAGGTTCTTAAGATACAACACTTATTTTAAGTGCCTAATCCCTTCCTCTCTATGTTGTTGTTGTTGTTGTTATGTGCCGTCAAGTCGCCTGCGACTCATAGTGACCCTATGTACAATAGCCCTAAACTCTGCTCTGTCCTGTGCCAGTCGCACTGTCTCTGACACTCCCATCCCGATTACGCCAGTGACTGAATCAATCCACCTCATAGAGGGCCTTTCCCTCCTGTGCTATCCCTCCACCCTACCAAGCATGATGTCCTCTAAGGACCAGTCCCTCCTTACAACATGTCCAAAGTATGTTAGACGGAACCTCAGAATCCTTGCCTCTAAGGAGCCACCCAGTTTAACCTTTTTCAGGATGAACCTCTCTATGTTAACCAGGGGATTTTTTTGAATCCTGGTGCTTTGATTTAGACTAACAAGTTACTTTACCTTTCATGTGGAGAATGAGTCATCTGGAACTAGTTTGATTCTTAGGGAAAATTTTGGATTTGGAGAGCTCTGGTAGCATAGTCTGTAAAGAGTTGTGCTGCTATGTGGAAGGCCATGCCTCTGGTGTTCAAACATCAGATACTCCACAGAAGGAAGACAGGCAGTCTCCTTACATGTGACATACAGCCTCTGAAAAAGCACAGAAGAGTTAGGTGTGAATTGGCCTGACTTCACAGCAATGACTTAACTTGGGAAATTTTTGTTACACACCTAGAAGTAGTCTGTTATTTTGCTATTATCTGTAAGACATTTAAAAGTAATATACATTAATGTTTAAATGGTTCCCAGAAAGAAAACCTCTTTGTTTCTAAAATTTTGAATCCCTTTTCAGCTACTAAAATACTACTTCATCAGCAAACTTTTTTTGTTGTTGTTGACAGAGTACAGTGAATGATCTCACAGTCCATCGGGCAACTCCCGAAGATCTGGTAAGTTTATATAAAGAGTTAACTAATTTACTCAAATTTTTTTTTAAAAATGGTTTTTAACCTTCAAAATTGAAAGATGTTCTTGGATGTTGCTCAGTAATATTTAATCCTTTTTATGTTTATATATAATAACTACCTCTCTGTCAAGTTAAGCTACTGTGGTGACTTGAATGTTTACAGCTTTCAGTATGGATTGCATCTCAATGTTAAGCAAAAATTCCAGAATGAAGGCTGCATAGTGGACTGGACCTGGGGGGAGGGATTGTAAAAAAATGAAAGAATTTTACTTTTCAAAGAGAAGAGTGTACTGGAGGGGAGGGGTAGGCAGAGAGAAAAGTGAAACAGTGAATCAATGGAAATCCAAAAGGGAACACTGCATGGTTCAAAATTGGGAAGGGCGTACGCCAGGAATGCATCCTATCTCCATACCTTTTCAACCTGTATGCAGAACAGATTAGCCAGGAGGCTGGGCTCTATGAGGAAAAATGTGGGGTCAAGATTGGTGGACAATTTATCAACAGTCTGCTTTATGCAGATGACACAACCCTGCTTGCTGAAAATGAAGAGGACCTGAAGCACCTGCTACAGAGGGTCAAGGACTGCAACCTCCAATATGGATTGAGGCTCAATGTCAAGAAGACAAAGATTCTCACAACTGGACCAATCGGCAGCATCAGGATGGATGGTGAAGAGACTGAGATTGTACACAGCTTTAGTTTGCTTGGCTCCACAGTCAACAGTCTTGGCACCAGCAGCCAGGAAATTAAAAGGTGCATTGCCATGGGAAAGTCTGCTGTTAGAGACCTCTCCAAAGTACTGAAGAGCAATGGTGTCTCTCTGGAGACTAAGGTGCATCTGATACAGGCCATGATCTTCGCAATCACTTGTTATGTATCGGAGAGTTGGACAATGACCAAGGAGGATAGAAGGAGAATTGATGCCTTTGAGCTGTGGTGCTGGAGAATAGTATTGAGAATACCATGGACTGCTAGGAAAACAAACAGATTTGTCCTGGAAAGGGTTAAACCGGGTGGCTCCTTGGAGGCAAGGATTCTGAGGCTCCGTCTAACATACTTTGGACATGTTGTGAGGAGAGACCGGTCCTTGGAGAGGGACATCATGCTTGGGAGGGTGAAGGGACAGCACAGGAGGGGAAGGCCCTCTATGAGGTAGATTGATTCAGTGACTGGGATAATTGGGATGGGAGTGTCAGAGACAGTGCGATTGGCACAGGACAGAGCAGAGTTTAGGGCTGTTGTACATAGGGTCGCTATGAGTTGCAAGCAACTCAACGACACATAACAACAACAACAACAAAATTATTTTTTTAAAAAAGAAGCAAAAATTCTCACCCTGGATCTATAAGCAACATTGTGATAGATGGAGAAAAGATTGAAACTGTCAACAACTGCATCTTACTTGGATTCCTAGTCAACACCCTTGGTACTAGCAGTCAGAAGCTCAAAAGATTTATTGTACCAGAAAAGTCTGTTTTCAGGCACCTCTCCAAATTATTGAGGCACAGTGATATCAGTTTGAGGATTAAGGTACACCTGATTCAGCCATGGTCACTTCAATTACTTACTGTACTGCTGAGAGCTGGTCAGTGAATAAGGATGATAGAAGAAGAATTGATGCCTCTGAGCTGTGTTGTTGGAGAAGAGTACTGAATATTCCATGAACTACCAAAAGAACAAAGAGATAGGCATGTTGCTAGGAGAGAGTCTTCCTTAGAGGGACATTATGCTTGGAAAGCTGAAGGGGTGGTGAAAGGGTAAGACCCTTTGACCAGGTGGAGTGACACTGTGGTAATGGGCTCAAGTGTGTCAGATTGTGAAGATGGCACAGGATAGGACAGAGCTCAGATCACTGTGCATCATACTTGACTCAGTAGAACGTAACAGGAGCAACAAGATGTGTGATCTTTGTGACGAAATTTTACTTAGCATAGTGCTTTCAGGATTCATTTCTGTTGTACCGTGTGTGTGTGTACCCTGTGCTTCATTTTGTTTTTTTGGTGAATAAGAAATATTCCATTGTATAGTTGTACACTTTTTTTATCTGTTTATCGGTTGATGGACATTTGGATATTTTTTGGTTTTTATTTACTTTTTATTGTGCAACTGTAGCTATTTATTTATAACTTTTTGTGTGGACATAAATTACATTTCCCTTGTACTGAGGAATAGAATTTCTGGATCATGTACTAACTTGGCATTTTTTATCTTGAGGAACTGCCATAATGTTTTTGAGAATGGTTACAACATTTTCAGTAATGTCTTTAGGGTTTCAGTTTCTCCACATCCTTACTAACACTTGACACTGTGATTTTGGTTTTAATTACCTTGTTTGTTGTTGTGTACCATAGAGTTGGAACCGACACATATCTGACCCGCCAGTGGATTTTCAGAGGCAGTTAAACGCATGGGAAGAGATTGCCCATCCTTCTCCTATGGAGCAGCTGGTGGCCTCAAACTGCCTACCTTCGGGATTGCAGCACAGCTTCTTGCCACTAGGCTGCAAGAGCTCCTTTAGTGGATATAAAGTTGTTTTCTTATTATGGCTTTGATGTTTCTTTCCCCTAGAATTAATGAGGGAAGTCTAATGGCTTAGTAGTAAGGAGTTTTCTGCCAACCAACCCAAAGACATGAAGTTTGAATCCACTAGCTGCTCCACAGGAGAAAGATGAACAGTCTGCCCCATTGAAGTTCACAGCCTCTGAAAGCCTACTGTAGCTATGAATTGGTTCCAGTATTTTGCTTCGTGATAATAACTACTGTGATTAATGATGTTGAGAATCTATGTTTGTGCTGTTGGTTGCTGTTATCTTTTTAGAAGAAATATCTACTCCAGTCTTATTTTAAAATGAGTTTAAAATTTGTTTCTCAATCACTGCATTGTTAGAATTCTTAATATATTGATACAAATCTTTTACCAGACATATGATTTAAATTTTCTTCCATTCTGTGGGTTGTATTTTCCCTTCCCTGTGGTGTTTTTTCAGGTAAAGAATCACTAATTTTGATGAAGTCCAGTTTGTCTAATTTTTCTTTAATTTTCTGTGCTGTTGGTGATATTAAAAAATTACATAATACATCATGAAATTTATCCCTATTTTTGTCACCATGTCTGTGCTTTTTTATTATCATTCTTTCCTCATTGTTTCTAACTTTTGTGTCCCACACAGCAATAATTACTAATGCATCCTGATTGCTTATTTGGTCAATTTTAGACGACAAAAGCTGTTGTTGTTGTTGATTGCCTTGAATTCGAGCACAACTCATAGCGACCCTATGAATAAGGCCTGAAGCCTTTCTATAACTATCAACATTTATCAAAGTTCATAGAGTTTACAGAGGCATGTTTTTTAGGAAGGGGATGCTGCTACTGCTTCCAGAAGTTGGTAGAATCCTCAAATCTCTACTTCTATGGCTTTTGTTGGTGGATATAGAGTAACAGTCGTGTTAAGAGGTCTTCCTTGTATGCATATGGATAATATCCTATCACTCACAACATTCAGGATAGATCTTTAAATTGTCTTTTTTTAGCTATGAATACATAAGTTTTTCATTCCTGACATAGTAGCTAGTATGATTGTTTGATTTCAAGTGGCCTGTGCCAATCCTTCTCTGTTCACTGATGCCTAGAATGCCAATATTCATGTGTTTATTTCATTTTTGGCAACTTCTAGTTTTTCATTTGTACTTTGTACATTCCAAGTTCCAATTACTAACAATTGTTCGTAGGAATTAATCCTCATTTTTCAGTGAAGCTGGACCATCCTCATTAATTTTAAAATTAAACTCTGTGAAGAGGAATGTGACATCAGGATCACGACAAAACCTTGCTTTTGGAAAATGAGGGGGACTTGAAACTCTTGCTGCAGAAGAGTCTTCAGTATGGATTGCATCTCAGCATCAAGAAAACAAAGATCCTCACCATGAGACTACAAGTCAACATCATGAAAGATGGAGAAGCTGTCATTGTTTTAATCTTACTTTGACTAACACCCTTTGTACCAGTAGTCGGGAAATCCAGAGATATATTAATATTGGTTAAGTCCTCTGTCAAGGACTTCGCCAATATACTTAAGAGCAATCAGCTAGAAGACTAAGGTGCACCTGATTCAAGCCGAGGTCTTCTCAATCACCTTATATGGATCAGAGCTGAACAGTGAATAAGGGTGACAGAAAAAGAATTGATCCCTTTGAGCTGTGGTATTGGAGCAGAGTACTGAACATCCCATGGACAGCCAAAGGAACAAAGAAACAGATATGTCTTGGAGAAAGTGCAGCCAGAGTACTCTTTGGAGGCCAAGGTGATAAAGCTTCATCGCTCATATTTTGGACATGTTGCCAGGCATGGTGGTCTATTCCTTGGAGAGGGACATTATGCTTAAAAAGATGCAGGTTCACTGAAGGATAGGAAGACCCTTAACGAGATAGATTAAAACAGTGACTTCCAGCAATGGGCTCCAAAGTGTCAGATGATTCGGATGGCACAGGATGGACAGCGTTCAGGCTGGCTTTTCATAGGGTCCCTGTGAGTTGTACTCAACAGCACTTATCAACACCAGTGATGTCCGTTTGAAGACTAAGATGTTCTTTTATTTAGGTCCTGGTATGTTTGGTCACTTGCTCTGTGTCTGAGAGTTGGACTAGGAGTAAGGATGGCAGAAGAAGAATTGAGGCCTTTGAGCTGTGGTGTTGGAGAAGAATACTGAACATCCCATGGATGACCAAAAGAACAAACAGATAGGTCTTGGAGAAAGTACAGCGAAAATGCTCCTTGGAGGCAAAGTTTCATCTCACATACTTTGGGCATGTTGTTGGAAGGGGCTGTTCCTTGGAAAAGGACATCAAGCTCAGAAAGGTAGAGGGTCAGTGAAAGAGAGGAAAACCTTCGACAAGATGGATTGACGCAATAATTGTAGCAATGGGCGCAAGTGGCAGGTGTATCAGAGATGATGAGGATGACACATGATAGGCCAGCGTTCAGATCTGTTGTTCATAGGGTAATTATGAATTGTAGGTGGCTCAGTGACATCCATCAACAACAATGATTGATTTTAAACAAAAATCTCCAGTTGTCATGGGGTCAGTTTTGATTCATGATGACCCCTGTGTGATAGAATAGAGGTGTGCTCTGTAAGATTTTTAGTGACTGATTTTAAAATTGTTGTTGTGTACTGTCGAACTGGAACCAGCCTATAGCTGACCCTCTGGTGGGTTTTCAGAGGCAGTTAAATGCATGGGAGGAGGTTACCCATCCTCCCGCGGCGCAGATGGTGGCCTCAAACTGCTTACTTTCAGGATTGCAGAGCAGCTTCTTGCCACTAGGCCACAGAGCTCCCTAATTAGTCACTAAAAAATGAGGGACTAATTTTTTGAAAGATTTCTTCCAACAAACCTCCTGGGACTTAAACCTTTCAGGTGGCAGCTGACTGTGTTAACCATTTGCACCTATTCAGAGGGTTCTAAATAGATTTTTGTTGTTATTGTTGTATACTGTCAAGTCGGATCCAACCTATAGCTGACCCTCCAGTGGGTTTTGAGAGGGAGTTGATTGCATGGGAGGAGATGGCCCATCCTTCTCCCGCAGAGCAGCTGGTGGCCTCAAACCCTGCACCTTCTGTATTGCAGTGCAGCTTCTTGCCACTAGGCCACCTAAGCTCCATGAAGGAGACAGAAATTAGTATTTTTTACTTGCCTTTTAGGGAGCTCTGGTGGTGTTGTGGTAAGGAGTTGTGCTGCCAACCTAAAAGCAATTGATACGATCCCACCAGCTGCTTAATAGGAGAAAGATGGGGTGTCTCCTCCCATGTGATTGACAGGCTCTGAAAACCCACTGGAGGGCCAGCTGTCAGACAGTTGGGTCTAGCTGCTCAGCACACAGCCATCCAACCAACTTGCTTTTAGCTAGGTCTTCTAGTTCTATACTATTTTTTAAAAATAGTTTTTAAAATTCAGAGAACTGAAAATTTTATAAATATACATATGTAAAGCTAGAATTTTTTAAAATAGGTGTATAATGGATTTCCACTCTCAAGTCAGCAACTCTTTTGTTCCTGAAACAATATCCTTTATTTTTTTTTCCTTTGTAGTTGCGTCGTCATGAAATACATAAATCGAAGAACAGAGCAGTAGCTCACTGGGAACTCCAGGAAAAAGCTTTAAAGAGAAAATGGAGGAAGCAGAAACCAGAAGCTTCCAATCTTGAGAAAAGGAGATTGGCTATCATGAAGGAGGTAATGCAAAACTTTATTATCTTTTTTTCACACTTTATTATCTTTAAAGTGAGAAGTAAAAGATAAATAGATTTTTCTCTTTTTTCCTTCTACATTTAGTTTATAATGGAAAGACTATGGCCTAGTGAAGAAACTCTTGTAGCATATTATATAATGTGTTCTCCTACTAACCAGAAAGTTGGCAGTGTTAATCTACCAGTGGTTGTGTGGGAGAAAGATGGGCAGTCTCTTCCTGCTAAGATTTACAGCCTCAGAAAACTGTCTGAATGTCACCGTTGTTATGTGCAGTCTAGTCACTGGCAACTATGTACAATAGCTCTGAAGCCTTCTTTGTCCTGAAACAGTCTCACTGACTCTGACACACCAACTCCTATTGCCCCAGTTACTGTGTCATTTCCTTTACTCCAGGGTCAGATTCTGTTTGAGGACAGTGAGGGGCTGTGGTTTGAATTTCTGCCTGACTCACTAGGTTTATGGTTTTATACAAATTATTTAATGTCTTCAGGGTTGTTTGTGGGTTTTTTTTTTGTTTTTTTTTATCTTTAGGGCAGGAATAACATTATCATTATTTCGGAGATATAAAACTTATGAAGTGATAAGCAGTGTTTGGCTTAGAGTTAGTCCTTTAAATAAACATTTAGGTTACTATACTTATTTTCACTGTTTGATAGAATTCTTTTGGAAAAATCACTTTTGGGGGGAAATGTAGACTTACCCAGTTAGTAAGGTACTATTTTTGGTTCAGCCTTTTGCCAGATAGTAGGATATTTGGATAAATAATCAGGTGTTCTATAGCACAAAACAGAGTAAGAGAACAATTACAGCAAAAATAACTTTACAAAACCGTGTAAGAGAACAATTAGAGCAAAAATAACTTTTAAGTTGAAATCATTATAAAAACAAATGTGCTCCATATGTAGGTTTTTCTTTGTTCAGTGTGGAAGCTCATGGTACTTGGTTGTCTGGATAGCCCTTCACTATAGCTTTTAAGTCACACTGTGCCTTTCTTTTGAGGAATTTATTAGATTTCTTAATGAAATAAGATGTTGGTTGCGTAATTAGCTAAGATTAATTATGTTGTTGTTGTTGTTGTTATGTGCCGTCAAGTCGCCTGCGACTCATAGCGACCCTATGTACAACAGCCCTAAACTCCGCTCTGTCCTGTGCCAGTCGCACTGTCTCCGACACTCCCATCCCAATTACCCCAGTCACTGAATCAATCCACCTCATAGAGGGCCTTCCTCTCCTGCACTGTCCCTCCACCCTCCCAAGCATGATGTCCCTCTCCAAGGACCGGTCTCTCCTCACAACATGTCCAAAGTATGTTAGACGGAGCCTCAGAATCCTTGCCTCCAAGGAGCCACCCGGTTTAACCCTTTCCAGGACAAATCTGTTTGTTTTCCTAGCAGTCCATGGTATTCTCAATACTCTTCTCCAGCACCACAGCTCAAAGGCATCGATTCTCCTTCTGTCCTCCTTGGTCATTGTCCAACTCTCTGATGCATAACAGGTGATTGCGAAGACTATGGCCTGTATCAGATGCACCTTAGTCTCCAGAGAGATACCATTGCTCTTCAGCACTTTGGAGAGGTCCCTAACAGCAGACTTTCCCATGGCAATGCGCCTTTTAATTTCCTGGCTGCTGGTGCCAAGACTGTTGACTATGGAGCCAAGCAAACTAAAGCTGTGTACAATCTCAATCTCGTCACCATCCATAGCTCCTAAATAAATGATCACTTGAGCTTGTAAAAAGAACAGTGGATTTTGAGGAAGTAGTTCTTCTCTAGTAAATATTTTTGGTGAACTTGGATTAAGATCTTCTAAATGCGATTTGTAATTCTCAGTGGATGTCCAAGAACACACATAGATCTGGCCAGGACTCACAGACAGGCCCCTCTCTGAGGTGCATCACTCCTTCCTAGTGATTCCTAGCAGTTGTGTCCTGAGTTTCTTCCACAAGTTCCAGAACAGTTTGGAGAAGAGTGGTGTGAGAGGACAAGCCCTGTTTCTGTATCTTCTGTGTGTAGAGCTGCTTGCTCAGGCTCCATGCACTGATTCCCAACTCTAACTGCATGTTCTAGTCAGTTAGCATTGAAAAGTTGTTGTAGAAAAATTAGTTGTATCTGAGCCCTAGAGATTTTGATTTAGTTTTATAGTGTTATCTGAGTTATAGTCCCGTCATGGATATTTTCGTGGCATTGCCTTGTAATTTTAATAAGCTGCCAACAGTTTATGTGGGAGATGATTCCATATCAGTACTTAGTCTACCTCTTTTTAATGGCTGAGTAGTGTACAGATAAACATTTGTGATTGGCACAAATGACAAGTAACTGAAAGATTAGCAATTTGAAGCCACTAGGCAGAGCTGTAGAAGAAAGGCCTAGTGATCTATTTCTGTACAAAGGATGGCCAAGAAAACCCTATGGGATAGTTCTACTCTGTAATGTGAATTAGAATTCAGCAACAATGTGTTAGAGGGTTTTGTTTTTGGTGTACTTAGTGATGCAGTCCATTGTTTTCTAGTTAGAACTGATGGATTTTCAGAGGCTGTAAATTGTACAAAAGAAGATTCCCCATCTTTCATTTTTAGAGTAGCTGGTGAATTTTAATCACCTACATTTAGGTTTGACAGTAAAACCCCTTAGCCACCAGGCCATGAGAGTGTATAGACATACCATAATTTATCAGGTCCAGATAGGACAATGTTTTGTTTTGTTGCTTATAGGGTTGCTATGAATCATACTTGACCTGATAGTACCTAACAGCAAAATTATTGGTGGATATTTAGGTTGTGTATTAGAATATAGTTTAAGAATCGGGAAGAAAGATAGAACATTTCAGTTTAACAAAATAGAAATTTATTTCTTTGTTATGAATAGCTTAGAGGTAAGGTCATCCTTTTTAGTATGGCTTCTCCTGTTCCTTCCTGTTGTATGGCAAACAGGAAAGAGTGCCTACAGTTCATTTTCATTTATCATCCGGAAGTCTCACTCATAGCCTCCTGGCAGAACTTTAGCACATGGTCTTTCCAGCTTGCAAGGTAGTTAGAATATCCAGTTGGGATATTTAGCCTTGGCTAAAACCTATAAGTTCTGCTTAATGTTAAAGGACAAAAACATTTCAATGAGCATATAACAGTGCTTGCCACTCACAGATTGTTCCTTCTTTGCCACAATAAATACTGTAATGAGTATTTCCCTTTCATTTGCTTTTGGGTACATGTCACATTATATTTGTAGGATAAAATTTTAAAAGTGGAATTGATGAGTCAAAGGATGTAAGCACCCATTATTTTGGTATTGCTAAATTTAAAATGTTTTTATTTAAGAGAGAAGTTTGACCAAACATGACCTTTAGTTGATGTATTCTAGAGCCATCAGAACCCGTCTTTCTAAAGCTGGAACTTCTTAGGAACCTCTCAAACACTCATTACTATTGCACTGGAACCAACTCATAGCTGACCTTCCACTGGGTTTCTGAGGCTATAAATCACACTGGAAGAGATTGGCTGTCTTTCTCTGGAGGAACTGTTGATCTTGTTGGTAGATTCAAAGTGCCACAGAGGCAGTTAGTAGACTAACTGCCCATGGACTAGGCCACCAGAGCTCCCTAGATTAACATAGTTAAGAGAAAAACTTTAATCAACAGAGACTTTTATACATTTGCTCTGTGTATGCAGAGTCATGCTGTGGGAGTCAAGTTCAACTCCAGTTTAGGGAGAGGGAGGATTTTACAAATCCACCAGCTGCTCTGTGGGAGAAGGCTGGGAATTCTCACGTGATTAACTGCCTCTTAAAACCTACTGACGGTCAGCTATGAGTTGGTTCCGACTTGAGGGCACACAACAACAAGAGTATTTTGATAATGATTTACCAAATCTCTTTTAGTCTCCCAATTAATTATGTTACCAAGAAACTAAAGGGCTGGGGTGAGCAGTTTCTGATATTTTTGTAGAGCACTTGATTAATTGTTTGATGATTAAAGAGGTAAATCAATCTGAGTTTGGCTTTGTGGACTGCAAACTCATCTAGGAGAATTATATATGCAGATGAGTTTGCCTATTAGAAGGATAAGAATACAAAGGAGGAGAATAGAAAGAAGTCTAGAAAGGGAACAGAAAGCCAGTCCACTGATTTCTGGCCACTCAGACCATCTGTTCCAAAAGTCTAAGCAGAGACTAGTAGAAGGCAATGGGATAGCAGTTTTATTTGACACTTCATTATAATTAATATCAGGTCTTGATATGATTAGTGAGAGTATTATTGTGGAGGACATTTTTTATTAGAAAATCAATGCTCATTAAAAAAAATTAACAAAATTCTTCATTTTACCATTGTGGTGGTGGTTTGCTGTGGAGTCAGAACCAGCCCAAAACTGACCCTCCAGTAGGTTTTCAGAGGCAGTAAATCACAGGCGATGCAATTGCTCATTCTTGTCCCTCTGAGTATCTGATAGATCTGAACTAGGTGCCTTTGGGATTGCAGAGCAGCTTCTTACCACTAAGTCACCAGAGCTCTCTAAATCTACCATAAAGAAATATATTTTGCACAATTTTTCTAGATGTAATGGTAGATTATATTGATAAATTTTCATTCTTTCGTAAGCTCTAATACAAGTATTTATTTACAAGATACCTAAGAAGGCATAGAAATTTGTATTGTGACATAAAAATAGAAGCTGTATTTACATTTTTTTTAAAATTTTAAATTGTGATTTTAACAAAAGTTTACAGAAAAGTTGGATTTTTTTCCCTCATTCATTCATTGTTGCACATTTTCCTCTCTACCTCCCATTCATTTTTTAAAAAAGCACTCATTGTTGCATGATTTCCACCTTCCTCTTTACCCCTTTAGAGTAGTGAGAGAAGATCTTCACCCTGAAACCCACAGCGTCCCTTTTCAGCAGGAAGTAGCTAAGAGAATACGCCATCCCCTTTTCCTTATGACTCAGGGTGAAGTCTCTCTCAGGGAGGAGTGATAGGGAATGGCAAAGGACACACTGACAAAGAAGATTAATCAGAACTGGCTTTGACAAGCACTGTGGCATTTGGACAAGAACAAACTGGGAGGAGGGTAGAGAGAATAGTGCAACAATGAATGAGTGGAAGCCCAAAATCTCTGTAAATGTTTATGAAAATTAATAAAATATAATTATAGGAAAAAAAAAGTCCACTTTGCTATGTACCTCTTATTCTGGACTGTTGTCATACAGATAATGCTTAATCATATAGTCCTTTTAAACAGTTTTGTTTTTTTTTCATCTGTGCCAATGCAGTGTTGATTATTTATCCTGTCTTTTCTTAGTTCCCCCATCCCCAATGCCAGTTCTGTTTTATAATAGTGACATTATGCAGTATTTGTCCTTTGGTGACTGAGATATTTCACTCAGCATAATATCCTTCAGGGTCACCTCTGTTGTATAATGTTTACATTCGTAAACATTTCTGTGGTGGTGTGTGGTTTTTCAGTATGTCTATATCCTCCTGACACCCCTGTACAGTTGAAGAGTCGGTCATCTCTCCATTTACACATCATGAAATGGAATTTAAAGAATGATATTTTGCCACATGTTATTTGCCTGCGTCTAGAATCCTGGCTTCCAATATCTTATCCTGTACAAAGTTTTTTGTTTGTGGTAAGAACATATTCAGAGCCTTATTTGCAGAAGTCGAGCCAATCTATTTGACTGTATGGATAAGGGGATAAAGTAAGAATGTGTTCTTGGTTATTTGTTCTGTGTCTTAAAGCAGTATCTGAATTCTGGTAAGACTGTTTACAGTCTTCAGATGTTTTATTAGCGGCAGCTTTCGTTGGTTTGAGTGTTGGAAGCTGGGCAGTTTCTGAGATCTCTTTCATCTTAATAATGCCATCTAGTGGTAGTAGATAGAGTTGACTTGTTTTTATTCTGACTTGGCCTTTGTGTGTTACTAGGCAATCTTCTAAATTCGAAGTACCTAAGTAATAGCACTTCTGGCATTTTTCGAGTTTCCACCTCACTAGGATAAAAAATGGATTGATGTATAAATACAGGAGCAGCACATTTTTTCATTTTATCTTCCAAACCGCATATCTGACATCACATTTTTTGGTGCTATGAATCGTGACCCATTTGTGTATTATGAAATCTCTCTAGTAGTTGAAATACCTCTGAGTTTATGCTGTCAGTGTTTTTCAGACTGTGAGTCACAAACTCAAATAGATTGTGGAACCAAGCTAGTGGGTTGTAACCATTATTAAAAAATGAAAATAGAATGGAAATTTAAAAGAAAATATTAGTGTTTCTCAAGAAATAAGAAAAAAATCTGTGAAACTTTTATTTCCGTGTGTGTATGTGGACTAGGGTCACAATTTAACATATATTTCTTAGTGTGGTTTGAATGCAGTTATTTGAAAGCTAGTAATAATGGTAATAACCTTATCCTCTATTACTTAAAGGACCCCAGGTGGCTTAGTTGTTAAATGCTTGGATGCTCATTTGATAATTCAGACCCACCAATTGTGCCATGGGGGAAGATGTGGCATTTGGCTTCTGTAAAGATTTATAGCCTTGGGAGGTCTAAGAGGCAAGTTCTGTTTGGTCCTAAAGGGTTGCTATGAGTTTGAATTGACTCAGTGGGCTTTGAGTTTGATATTTTGCTTTGGACTGGTATTTAAAGATATTGCCACTGAAGCATTCTTAAAGGGAGGTAGTTGCCTATGCTTGCTTTTAGTCTCTTTGCCTTTACAGAAACTTTTTCTTTGTGATTTGAAGAATATATGAGTTTTTTCCTAAATAATATTATCATTAACATGTCTAGATTCTTTCTGATCAATACCAGATGCAGGATGTATTGGAAAAATCTGATCATTTGATGGCTGCAGCAAAAGATCTCTTTGTTGATTTTCCTCGTAGACGCACAGGTAAATGATTCAATTCAAACAAAAGGTTCTTTTTCTTGCTAACTGTTCCCCGTAATGGAATGTTCAGAATTTAAAATTTTTTCCTAAGCATCATATTTTTATATTACAAATATTCTAGAGTAGATAGAGAGTATGTATGGTTTTTATGCTTGAGTTAATTACCTTTCAAGTAAATGTTGTCTATCACCAGTGACTCAGATAAGGTAAACTGTTACTGTCTACTGCTAAAGAAGAATTGATGCCTTTGGATTTTGATGAACATTTAATATCCCATGGAATGACAACAAACAAATATATCTTGGGAGATGTGCTGCCAGAGTGTGCCTTACAAGTAAAGATGTTAAGACTTTATCTTACATACTTTGGGCTTGTTCTAGGTGGGGCTTGTCCTTAGAAAAGGATGTCATATGAGGGAAAGTAGAGGGTTAGTGAAGGAAAGAAAAGGCTTAAGGAGCCTTTTAAGGAGCAGAGATTATGAGGATGGTACAGGATCAGGCAGCATTTCATGGTGTAATTATTGACTCACTATAGCTGACTTGATGGTACCTGTAACAACAACTAAAGTATATTATGTTACAATAAATCCTATTTTATGATTATTAAATACTATACATTATATCCACAAAATCTGGATACAATACACAGTATTTAATAAATGTAAAATATGACTACTGTACTATTTTTAGTTTATAAATATTAAAGTACCATATAATAAACGTATTTTCAGTTATGTGTAATTTGTGTCAAGCTTATTGGACAATTAAAGTCACAGCAATCTCTTTTTAATAGGAGCTTCTCTTAGATACATGCTGTAGCTGTTAGGGGCCATTGAGTTACATATGATTTATTTTAGTGTGCATGTATTATACTTTTTATCAAATTCATCAAGCAGATCATTAGCTTTTAGTTTAATATTTGAATCCTGTCTCAGCTGGACAACCTGCTTAATGTCTCTGAATGTCAGTTTACTAATCTGTGAAATGGCAGTGTTATTGAAGAGTTTTGTGTGGATGAAATGAGTTCATATGTGTGAAAACATTTGAAACAGTAACTAGTGTATAGTACGATACTGTTAGTGTGGGCAACATTATAAATTTAAGATTACTATGTGGTTATGAAATTCTATAGTGGTACATAGCACTTGAGAAGTCAATTTAATTAAAGGAGACAACATCATAATTGCTTGCTTTCTTTCTACAGGATTTCCGAATGTAACAATTGCTCCTGACTCCTCTCAAAGTCCCATCGTGGTAAATCGAGACCCTGTCACTCAGTCTATTCTGAGTGAATCTGTCATAGACCCTCAGGTAAGGTGCTCAGTTCACAGCCAAAATATACGAATAAAATTTAAGCTTAGACTGAAGTAGGCGTTATGGTGAAAGTTCAGTTATCAAGCAAGGCAAACCTGTGGTTGCTAGAATTGCTCTTATTCAAATGTAGTGTACTTAGAGTTTCCAAAGGCATGTATATTAAAATGTTGTTGTTAAGTGCCGTCGAGTCACAAGTGACTCATAGCGACCCTATGAAGGAGAGTCCTCGATGCTTGGGTGCCTTTCATCCTCTCTCCAGGTTCATAGGGTTTCCAGAGGCAAGCTATTATGGAAGTGGATGCCACTCCTCCTTCCACTTTATATTAAAATAGAGAATAAAAACAGGTTACATTTACTGAATGTTTACTTTGAAGATCAGTGTTGTTTATATCTCCATTTAACAGACAGGGAAACCGAAGCTTAGAAGAATTTAGTGATTTCTCCAAGGCCTCATAGCTACTTAGTATCACGGATGAGCTTGAACCTAGGCTGTGGGCGCTACAGGACTATGCTTCAGCCTATCTCAACCTACCATAGTAGAGTCAGCAAGGCGTTTTCCCATTTTTTACTCTAGAATCAGATGGTCTTGTGTTCCTTCCTGTTCTGCTACTTAGTAGTAGTTTGACTGTAAGGTATCTTGAGTTGGCTCAGTGTAATATTTTATTGTTGTCAAATGGAAATAATACCTATCTGATGTGGTTATTGCAAGTTCCAGCTCGTTTTCTGCTTTGCCAAAATAAATAACGTAATGAATATCTTTGACCATGCCTTTTCATTAAATGTTATTTTCTTCTAATCTATTTATATGTTAAAAAAGAACTTTCCTAAAAACAATAATATATACCAGATCTACAGGACACATCACCCTCCCTTGGGAAACATTGTGACCACAGTGTGCTGTAAATGGAAGGGAAGAGGCCCTAAACCACAAGAAGTTTACCTGGAGCAGAAATCAAAGGGAAAGGACTTTTCTTCAGAATCGTCTGAAATAAGAAGCCTTCCCTAACATAAGTACCTTGTATTTGGATTTATAGACACCTAAACTCAAGAGACACTGGCCACAGCATAAGAAATTGGTAGCAGTTTGTAGCGTTTGGAATCACAGAGGCCCAGAAAGCTTGAGATATAAGCTATCAGATCAAGGGATGGATAGCGGGAGATAGATGTTGAAGGTAGTACGTGAGGGTAGAAGGGAATGCTGGTGGAGCAGGGAAATGGGTGGGTCAAGACACTCGTGTCAAGGGCAGGGACAGCACTGAAACAATTATTTCTACAATTGGGGAAATATCTTTCATCTGCTCTTTTCCCTAAAATGCTTCTCGGTCAGATACTGTTTTAAATCTGAGCATTCAGATTAAGACAGACTAGAAAGAACAATTGGACATCCACTTCTGAAATAGCAGGCCTATGAATACTCTATGTATAGTAGAACACACTTAGACTAGCAGATAGGGCAACAGAGGTGGAGCTTTCAAGTATGGAAATTCTAAGGAAGAGGAACAGTTGTAAGCAGAGACTAGTGGTTGGAACATGGAATGTGAGAACTATGAATGTAGGAAAATTAAGATATTGTTAAGGAAGAAATGGAACAAATAAATATTGACATACTAGATCTTGGTGAGATGATGAACTGGCATGGGACATTTTGAATCAGACAATCATATGACCTATTATGATGGAGTTGAAAAGGGGAGGAAAAATGCGGTTGCTTTCATGGTTAAAAAAGTCATTTCTAGATGCATCTTGAAATACAATATTGTGAGTGATAATATCCATATGCATACAAGGAAGTCCACTATCATTCAAATATATGCACCAACAACCAGAGCCAAAGAAGAGGAAATAGAAGATTTCTACCAACTTTTGCAGTCAGAGATTGATCAAACATGCAATCAAGATGCATTAATAATAATGGGTGACTGAAATGCAAAAGTTGGCAAGAGAGAAGAAGGATCAGTAGTTGGAAAGCATGGACTTGGTGACAGAAATAAAGCTGGAGATAGAGTGATAGAATTTTGAACAATCAACGATTTATAAATTGCAAATACATTTTATAAGAAACATAAATGCAGATTATACACATGGATTTCACCTGATGATATGCATAGGCATCAGATCGATTACATCTGTGGAAAAAACCACTGGAGAAGCTCAGTATCAGTTGTGAAAACTAGGCCAGGGGCTGATTGTGGAATAGATCACCTTCTACTCATATACAAGTTCATGCTGAAGCAAAGGAAAGAGAAATAAGTCCACAGGAACCAAAATATGACCTTGAGTCTATCCCATCTGAATTTCAGAGTTATTTCAGGAACAGATTTGAGGCCTTGAACATTAATGAGCAAAGATGAGTTATGGGAGATTATCAAGAATATCATCTAGGAAGAGTGCAGAAGGTCTTAACAAAGACAGAGGACAAACAAAGACAGAAGAAAAGACCAAAATGGATGTCAGAAGAGACTCTGAATATTGCACTAGAGTGCCGAAAAGCCAAAGCAGGGGGAAGAATTCAGAAGGCAGTGCCGGAAGACAAAGTATTATAATGACATGCACAAAAGATAGAGTCAGAAAATCAAAGGGGTCGAACTCGCTCAGCATTTCATAAGCTCAAGGAACTGAAGAAGAAATTCAAGCCTCGAGTTGCAATACTTAAGGGTATTTTGGGCAGAATATTAAATGATCCTGGAAGTATTAAAAGATGGAAAGAGTATACTGAGTTGTTATACCAAAAGGAATTGGCAGAAGAATTTCATGAAACAACATAGGAGCAAGAGCTTGTGGTGATGAAGGAAGTTCAGTCTGCTTTGAAAGAATTTGCAAAAAATAAGGCTCCAAGAATTGATGATATACCAATTGACATATTTCAACTAACAGATGCTTCCCTTGATGAGCTCACCAAGTTGTGCCAAGAAATCTGGAGGACCACCACTTGGCCAACTGACTAGGAGAGATCTGTATTTGTTCTCATTCCAAAGAAAGGTGATCCAACAGAGTGTGCAAATTATCGAACAGTATCATTAATATCACATACACGCAAGATTCTATGAAGATTATCAAAAAACAACTGGAACAGCACATCAACAGAGAACTACCAGAAGTGCAGGCTGGGTTTAGAAGAGGTCGTGGTACTAGGGATATTGTAGCTAATGTTAGATGGATCTTGGCTGATAGCAGGGAGTACCAGAGGAATGTCTATCTGTGTTTTATTGATTATGCAAAGGTGTTTGTGTGGATCACAACATACTGTGGCTGACTCTGAGAAGAATGGGAATGCCAGAACACTTGATTGTGCTAATGTGAAACCTATACTTGGACCAGGAGGCAGTCATCGAAACAGAGAAAGGAAACATTGCATGGTTCAAATTGGGAAGGGTGTACACCAGAGATGTGTCCTATCTCCATTCCTTTTCAATCTTTATGTGAAACAGATTTTCCAGGAGGCTGGGCTCTATGAGCAGAAATGTGGCATCAGGTTTGGAGGAAGACTCATCAACAATCTGTGTTATGCAGATGACACAACCCTGCTTGCTGAAACTGAGGAGGACCTAAAGCGCTTGCTGCAGAAGGTCAAGGACTGCATCCTTCAATATGGATTGAGGCTCAATATCAAGAAAACAAAGATTCTCAGCACTGGGCCAATTGGCAGCATCATGATAGATGGTAAAGAGACTGAGATTGTTAACAGCTTTCATTTGTTTGGTTCCACAATCAACACTCTTGGCACCAGCAGCCAGGAAATTAAAAGATGTATTTCCATGGGAAAGTCTGTGGTTAGAGACCTCACCAAAGTACTGAAGAGCAATGATGTCACTCTGGAGACTAAGGTGCACCTGATACAGGCCATGGTCTTTGCAATTACTTGCTATGTGTCAGAATGCTGGACAATGACTAGAGATGATAGAAGGAAAATTGATACCATTGAGCAGTGGTGCTGGAGAATAGTATTTACTATACCATGAACTGCTAAGAGAACGAACAGGTTTCTCCTGGAGAGGGTGAAGCCAGGCTGCTCCTTGGAGGCAAGGATTCTGAAGCTTCATCTGACATACTTTGGACATGTTGCAAGGAGGGACCAGTCCTTGGAGAGGGACGCCATGCTTGGGAGGATGGCTGACTACCACTATGAATTGGGGCTTCCAAAGGGCTTGGAAACAATGGGAGAATAGGGTAGAACAGAATTCAAAATTGTAAAAAGACTGAACCTGCTAGTCTGATAGAGACTGGTAGAACCACTAAGCCCATGGCACTTAGAGGCCCTGTAAACCTGGAACTGAAACCACCTCCAATCATCACTTTGCCGTCAGTAACAGACAAGCCTTAACAGAGGACAGTATCACTTAATGTGCAATGTACTCTTGAGGAAAATTAACCAAATCAGACTAAAGGAATATATTTGCACCAAAACAAAGCTCAGAAGGCAGGAACGGGCAGGAAAGCCAGACCAATGGAAGCAGGGAACCCTGGGAGGAAGGGCGAGGCGTGCTGTTACATTGAAGGAATTGCAACTAATGTGAAAGAAAATATGCATAAATTGTTGGTTAGAAAACTCATTTGTAGTATGTAAACTTCCTCTGAAACCCAGTAAATGACAAGGTAAAAAAGCAGCTGCTCAAGGAAATGTGGAATTTATTGCCTAGTTGCACACAGGGAAATAAATGATAGCACTGAGGCAGTGAAAGGAGAGGAGGGAGTTTGTGTTTTAGAACACATGTGGAAGGATTAGCCGCCGTTCTTCTGTTATAACATAAAGAAAGAGTGCCAGTATGACCAGTTTGTGCTGTGTTTTTATGTTGTTGACATAGGCTCTTAATGAAGTAGATGGTGAAGGAAGAGAAGACACTGCAAATAGCCAGTCAGAAGAAAGTGAGAATGAGTTGGATAGCTCGCTGAACTCCGAGTCTAACACGAATACAGATAGGTAGGTATATATGAAGAAAATTTCTAGAAATCTTTTCTTTTTCTCTGAGTCATCATAAAGGTCTGTTTATGCTACTGTTTTTCTTTTTAAGTAAGAGTGTATTTTTAATTTTTTTTATTTTGATATGTCAGACTTTCCAAAAGGTTTTAAGAGTGGTATGGGTAATTCCGACAGCCTTTCACTTAAATACACTAATTGCTAAGATTTCCCCACATCTACTTTATTATTCTATTTCTTTCTCTGTGTGTTGGTTCATGTACAAACACTGCGTTTATTTAGAGTAAATAGCATACTTCATTTTTTCTTTTTCCCTCAACATTTTATGTATTTCCTACAAGATTGATTGACACAGTGACTATAATGATGGGTTTGAGCATATTAGAGATTGTGAAGACGATAAGGGATAGGACAAAATTCAGATCTTTTTTCCATAGGGTCCCTAACAACATTGATTTTCACAATCAAATAAAATTATCAAAGTCAGGAAATCACATTGATTCCATATTGTTATCTAATCTTACACAGATTTTTTCTTTTTGTCCAAATGGTATACTTTGATATACTTTACAGAGAGGCTCACAGTTTGACTCTACCAGCTTCTGTGCAAAAGAAAGATGGGAAATCTCTCTTCCCTTGGAGGATCTCCTGGAGAGTCAACTATGAGTTGGTTCTGACTCTACGGTATGGAACAAAACCTTTGTTTTTTTCTGATTGAAGAAGCAGCAGTGATCACTTACTGCATTTAGTTTTCTTCTTCTTTCATCTCTCTGAATCTGTAACAATAAAAAAGCTGAGAGGGGGCCAGAGGTTTCCTGAATAAGTCAGAACTGCATGAGATACAGCAATAGCAGCAGTGGAAGAGGTGGCAGAGAACCAGAGATCAACAGGAGACACTGAAGCAGAACTTCCACTTTAAAGAGCTCCAGCCAAGGGCCTTTATCCAGTCTTGAATGGACAGCTCCAGGGGCTAGGGAGTGGTGTGGGAAAGGCGATCTTGTAATTGTCAGGACTTAAAAGCTGTGTCATGCTAACCCAAAGCTGTGAGTTCAGAGGGCCTGCCAGCATTCCTGAGAAGTTGTCTTGACTGAGGAATTGTATCCTGTTTCCAACTTGAATTGTAACCTGTTGTTGTGTCCCATCGAGTCAGATCCTACCTATGGCTGACCCTCTGGCAGGTTTTCAGAGGTCGTTAATACTCAGGAGGAAATTACCCAACCTTCTCCCGTGGAGTAGCTGGTGGATTTGAACCACATGCCTTCAGGATTGCAGTGCATCTTCTTGCCACTAGACCACCAGAGCTCCATTGATATGAGTTATCAAAGGAAACAAACCAAAGTACATAAGGTATGACCCATGTAGTAAGAGCCTGGCTGGAGCTCTCTTGTTGAAAAACACACTGGTATTGCTATGGAAACTACACTCACACTTCCTGTTCCAGTACCACATGTAAGCTGACTCTGTGTGTGTGTGTATGTGTGTGTGCGTGCACAATGAATCAAAGTTTTTGTCCTGTCTCTGGAGAATCTGGCAGATGGCTGGCTACTAGGAGGAATCCTAAAAACCTAGAGTAACCTATTACTCCCCTAATGAGTCTGTGAATTCTGTGTGGCCATTGCAGTGGATTAGTGAACCTAGTAGTAGAGCAATGAGAACCTCAGGAGGGACGGTGAGTGTGAGAATTGGTAGAAACAGATGAGAGAATGGAAACGTGTGAGCTCATAAGAATCAGCTTTGTGTTGTTGATAGGACTCTTCACCTTTATGGAACATCTGTCCAGTGGAGGTCAGACTCTGTTGCCTCCATACCAGCCATGCAGTTTTTAATAGTTTCCCTCTTACGTAAGTTGCTGCCTTTGATACTGAGGTCTGTATAATTTACTGTATTAAGGAAATAATAATATCTATTGCTTTGAGGTTTTATATTTTTACAAATCAGGGATAAGTATTATATTTTTGTCAAAAGACATTTTCAGCATAGCCTTGCAGTAAGCAAAAGCAAGCAGTTCGAATCCACTAGTTGCTCTGTGGGAAAAGATTACCAATCCCCTCCTATGCAATTTGTTGCTGTTGATTGCGTTGAGTCCGCACGACTCATAGCGACCCTTTGAACAAAAGACCTGAAGACTTTCAAAACTGTTGCCATTTCTCATGGTTCATAGAGTTTCCAGAGGCATGTTACAGACTCTGGAAACTCTGTAGGATCATTTAAGAATTGGTTTGACTTTGACAGCACATTGCAACAGTAATATATAATGAATTTACACCTTAGATTCTAGCTATTTGATGTTGTTGTTGTTGTTGTTATGTGCCGTCGAGTCGCCTGCTACTCATAGCGACCCTATGTACAACAGCCCTAAACTCCGCTCTGTCCTGTGCCAATCGCACTGTCTCTGACACTCCCATCCCAATTATCCCAGTCACTGAATCAATCCACCTCATAGAGGGCCTTCCTCTCCTGCGCCGTCCCTCCACCCTCCCAAGCATGATGTCCCTCTGCAAGGACCGGTCTCTCCTCACTACATGTCTGAAGTAAGTTAGACGGAGCCTCAGAATCCTTGCCTCCAAGGAGCCACCCGGTTTAACCCTCTCCAGGACAAATCTATTTGTTTTCCTAGCAGTCCATGGTATTCTCAGTACTCTTCTCCAGCACCATAGCTCAAAGGCATCAGTTCTCCTTCTATCCTCCTTGGTCATTGTCCAACTCTCTGATGCATAACAGGTGATTGCGAAGACTATGGCCTGTATCAGACGCACCTTAGTCTCCAGAGAGACACCACTGCTCTTCAGCACTTTGGAGAGGTCCCTAACAGCAGACTTTCCCATGGCAATGCGCCTTTTAATTTCCTGGCTGCTGGTGCCAAGACTGTTGACTATGGAGCCAAGCAAACTAAAGCTGTGTACAATTTCAATCTCTTCACCATCCATCCTGATGCTGCCGATTGGTCCAGTGGTGAGAATCTTTGTCTTCTTGACATTGAGCCTCAATCCATATTGCAGGCTGCAGTCCTTGACACTCTGCAGCAGGTGCTTCAGGTCCTCCTCAGTTTCAGCAAGCAGGGTTGTGTCATCCGCATAACGCAGATTGTTGATAAATCATCCACCAATCCTGACCCCACATTTCTCCTCATAGAGCCCAGCTATTTGATAGAGTATAAATATTGAACTATCCTTGCATTTCTGAAATAAACTCTACTTGACCATACTTGACCATTATTTTCAGTAATCTTGTGTGGCATGTTTGATGTTTATTTATATCTTGTTTACTATTTTTCCATTAATGTTCATCAGTGATGTTGGCCTATATTTTTCTTAGTGTTTGTTCAGTCTTTACCAGATTGACATAGCAATACTATATATGATTACATAAGAATATTCTACAAGTTTTCTAATATTTTTAAGTTCTGTTATAGTTTATGTAACATTAGGACTGACTATTCTTAGAAGATCTTATAGAATTTACTTTTGAGCCTCGTATTTTTTTTTGTAGGATAGTGCCATAGTAACTTTATTTCTTCTTTGTAAATGAGGTTGTTTAACTGTATTTCAACTCAGGCCAAACTTAGTTAAATAATATTTTTCTAGGAAATTAATTTCATGTAGGTTTCCCTACATGTTTTCGTGTATTCATGTTGTTGTTATGTGTCGTTGAGTTAGAATTGACTCATTGCTGACTCTCCCGCAGGTTTTCAGAGGCTGTAAATTGCACTGAAGGAGATTGCTCATCTTTATTCTATGGAGCAGCTGGTGGATCTAAGCTGCAGGTGTTTGCCTTGGCAGTGCAGCTTCTTACCACAGAGCTGCAGGAGCTCCCAAATGTGTTCATGTTGTTGTTGTTGTTGTTAGGTGCCGCCAAGTTGACACTGACTCGTAATGGCCGTGTAAACAACAGATCCGAGCCCTGTCCTATCCTGTGCCATGCTCATCATCTCTGACATATGCGAGCGAGCCCATTGCAGCAGTCTTTGTAATCCATCTGGTTAGAGTTTTTCCTCTCACCAACGATCCACCTTTCCAAGTATGATGTCCTTCTTCAAGGAGTAGCCATTTTTGCCTCCTAGGTGCACTCCAGCTGTACTTTCTCCAAGACATATCTGTTTGTTCTTTTGGCCATCCATGGGATATTCAGTACTTTTCTATAATGCCACAACTCAAAGACATCAATTTTTCTTTTGTCATCCTTATTCATTGTCTTGTTCTTCGCTGCATAGCGAGTGGTTTGGAAGACCCATCACTGGAATCAGGCACACCATTGCACTCAAACTGACATTATTGTTCCTCATTAATTTTGAGAAGTCCTGGCCTACCGAATGCAATAAGTCTCCTGATCTCCTGACTGCTGGTACCAAGGTGTTGATTGTGAATCCAATTAAGATGAAGTTGTTAACAGTTTCAGTCTTTTCTCCATCTGTCATGATGTTGCAATGGTGAGAATTTTTGTTCTCTTGATGTTGAAATGTAATCCATATTAAAGAGTATAGTCTTTTGATCTTTTGCAGCAAGCACTTCAAGGCCTCCCTACTTTCAGTAAGCAAAGTTGTATCATTTTGATAACACAGGTTGTTGATGAGTCTTCCTCTGATTCTGATGTCACATTTTTCTTCATAAGAGTCCAGCTTCTCAAATAATTTATTCAGCATACAGATTGAATAGGTATGGAGAGAAGATACAACAACCCAGACACACACCTTCCCTAATTTTAAACGCATAGTGTACCCTTGCTCGTTTTGGACAACAGCTTCTTGGTGTAGGTCTAGGTTTTGAATGAGCACAATTAAATGTGCTGGGATTCTCATTTTTCTCAAGGTTAGCCATAATTTGTTATGATCCAAACAGTCAATTAATTTTGTATAGTCAATAAAACATACAGACTTTCTTCAGGTATTCTCTGCTTTTTTCCAGGATCCATCTGACATTAGCAAAGATAGCCTTGGTGTCACAGATTATTCTAAACCCAACCTGAATTCTTGACATTGAAATAACACATTTTCATTATTTGAATGT